GATTACATATCGTGTGTCCTATCCACATACACATCAGCAGAATGGCTTTGCTGCACGTAAGCGTCGACACATAGTAGAAACCGGTCTAACTCTCTTGGCACATGCATCTATACCTTTTCATTTTTGGACTGACGCGTTTTCTACAGCTTGTTTCGTCATCAACAGGCTTCCCGCACGAGTTCTACACATGAAAACTCCCATTGAGTGTCTACTCCAAGAACACCTGACTATACATTTCTCAAGATTTTTGGATGTGCTTGTTGGCCACGCCTTCGACCATATAACGGTCACAAACTCGAGTTTCGATCAAAAATATGTGTGTTTCTTGGGTATAGTTCTCTTCATAAAGGGTATAAGTGTATCAATGTTCCATCTAATCGTGTCTATATACCTCGTGATGTTATCTTTGATGAGAATCTCTATCCTTTTTCTAATTTCTGCACGTCACAAAATCCTTCCAATTCTAGTTCACCATCATTTCCTTTGTCTGATCAATTTGTAGATGTTGCATACTCTCCTCTTTTGCTTCCTAATCATGGTGCAGATACTGGACGTGGTGCGCAGCTTGAGCACTGGATGATACAAAAGCTATGGAAGCTCCTCATGCCAATTGCATGCAGGCAGTACAGAACGCTGCGCAGGATTGCATACATGCCATCCCAAGCACTACATCAGGCGTTGGGACGCATGCACGTGCATGCGCCTCACGTCGACCGCATGCAGCCCCATGCATCGGCTCCTCGAGTCGATTCGGATCAAGCCGTCCTGCGCATAGCTCCGGAGTCCGCTGCCTCATCTACGCTGGAGACCGAGCCGCGTTCCCCCTCGGTTCATGACGAGGCCTCATGTTCGTTTGTTTCTAAAGTGCACAACTCTGCATGTTCTTCTTTTTTTGCGGGTAAAATCTGTATGTTCTTAACGGAGGGTATATATTGTTATTAGTGATATTGTGATTGATTTCGATTGCAGAGGATCCCTGGAGAGAGGAAGTGCAAGAGCTATGGGCAATGCATGTGTTACTGGCGCCAGCAGTAAGGATTTCTTTTGAGCTAGCTTCCTTTTCCTTCTTACTGGGCAACTTGTGATAATAATTTGTTTGAAGTGGTATATCATGTTATCTGTTGTGATACTGATGCAAGCATCACTTTTTTTTGGTGGCTGTAAAGATTTCTTTCGAGTCTCCTTTTCTTTTCTGCTTCTTACTTGAATTAACCTAGATGGTTCATCTTATAAACAAGGTTCAGACTGTTCACAAAATCATATAAATAAGTGATGAATTATTTTACTGAAAGACAACCAAAGAAGATGTTCATCCTCATCATGATGTTAATCCTTTTCTTTCACCTCCTGTTTAGCCAAAGTAACCATCATATGTATGTGAGGAAGTTCCCAGTACTACTTGCACTTCCTTCCATCAGTTTGCCTCAGTCCAAGATCACAAAAAAAAGGTTTGCGTCTGTCCAAAGTCCCCGGGAAGAAGCAAGTAGAAATCTTAACCCATTTGCTGAGTAATTCTAGCACAGCTAAATTTGCCATTCTACATTATATTCGTGTGTACAAAGCTAGAAAAACAACAGTACATCGCATTCATTGACAATACTGCACTAATCTAACGGATCTATCATGGTCGCCTATTTGTCTCCCGGGTCGTCGTGGCCTGTAGTTGTAATTTGAGCTTCTATTGTGATCCCCTGATGCTATTACTGATGCAAGGATTCTTTTCGTTTCAGGCAGCTCAAACCACGGGCAGAGTCTGAAATCCAAGGAGGCAAGGCTTATTGACAACTCATGTGTTACTGGTTCAAGTAAGGGTTTATTTCGTGCTTCTTACTGGGCCGCTCGTGTGATAATAATTTTAGCTGCTATACATTGTGATCATTTGAACATATAGTACATTTTTCTTCAATACTTAAAAGAGTCAAATGTTCCTATTTTTCTTCCATCAGTTTGCCTGAGTCCAACTTCTATGTTTGCCTCTGTGCGAAGTCCCTGGGAAGGAAGAAGCTAGCATAAAGCTCGCCTCTTAGCAGCAAAAAAAAAAACTCACCCCATTTTCTGAGTAATTCTGGCACAGTGAGTTTTATCATTCTACAGATCTATATATAGTGCACAAGGACAATAAATTCTTGTGTAGAGAGCGAGAATAGCAAAAAGCACTTCACACTAATTGACAAAACTGCACTAATTTAACGGATCAATCATGAGTGCTTCTCCGTCTCATGATCTGCTGATGTGATTTGAGCTGCTATATATTGTGATCTTTTCATGCTGTTACTGATGCAAGCATTGTTGTTTTGTAGGCCAGTCAAACCAAGGGCATTGCCAGGAATTCAACGGGTCAGAGATTACCTTCAGATGGAGGATTGATGGTTTCTCCTCGCTTCTTGATAAGGGTGAAGGATGAACGTATAAAAATTATAGGATGAATGAATATGGTGTTGTTTCTGTTGTATTGATCCGACCCTCATATGGGGTATATATAGAATACATTGTGAGGGAGAGAGACTTGGAGTAGAGGGCAAGTCGTACATGTTAAACCTATTCTATCTCTAACTCCTACCTATATCTTAAACACAATAATATTCTAACATTCCCCCTCAGTCGTAGCGGGAGTGAAGCGGACGATTGCGATTGAATTTGTAGTCTTGCGCTTTCGTCGTCTTCTCCACTGCGCCATCATCAACTGCGTCTCTGATGGGTCGACACCTAGGGCGGTGACTGCGTCCCCTTCTGGTGCCTTCCTTGTCTGTCCTCTCTTCCCTCCCGCAGTCACAGCGGGAGTGGCGTGGACGCTAGTGACGACGCGGACGCTGTTGACTGAAGTTGTCGCCGATGAGTTGCTGTAGACGTAGCCATGAATGTCGATGTCGAGGTAGCCGATCATTGCGATATAGCCATGGTCGAGGTAGCCATGATCGATGGTGTAGTCGTCGTGGATGATGAAGCCGCACAAAGCCGGAGGCGCAAAAAAAATGCGCTATGACGGAGCTGCAGATGTTGACGATGCACCTTGCAGATGTCAGAGGGTGTCGCCGGTGATGAGTCCATTGGTTTTGCCAAGACCGAAGGAAGCCCACCGAGCACACATCGGTTTTGCCAGAACCGTGTGGCTGTATAGGGTCATCACTGAAGTGACGCCGTGTCGATGCAGTCGTGCCGTCGTGGATGACGCGGTCGATGCCGTCGTCGTGACGCGGTCATTGCCGTCGTCGAGGTCGCGTCTTGCAGAAAAGTCTGTCAGAGGACGCTAGGTGTCCATCTTGTGGACGAGGCGGCAGTGGTGGTGTGTTGATGAAGATATTGGTGAAGACCACATTGATGAAGACCTTGACGATGAAGTGCCTGTGATGGCGTTGCCGTGGCGTGTCGACAATGATGAGTCGCTTGAAGGCGTCCCTCGTGGCGACGAAGTGTCGATGTCGTGTCGTGTCGAAGAAGTATGTTGGCTCGTAGCCTGGCGTAGTCATACAACTTGATGTCGCTCGGCTCAATGCAGAGGCGTGGGTGTAGCCGTGCAGATCGACTGTGGTGGTCGATGCAGCCATGCAGAAGATGATGTAGCTCGGCTCCGGACGTGGCGGCCGGTGTAGATCGTACAGCTTGATGTAGATGGCAAGCCGTGCAGATCGACTGTGGCGGTCGATGCAGCCATGCAGAAGATGATGTAGCTCGGCTCCGGACGTGGCGGCCGGTGTAGATCGTACAGCTTGATGTAGATGGCAAGCCGGCGCACAGGAGGTTGATGGAGTCGGCTTGCTGAAGATCGCGTCCGTGCGCGTGTCTCGAACGGGCTCTCCCGGTGTCCGACACACCGAGACTGCTGTGGTCGTCGGCCAGATCGGATCACGATGATGGTTGTTCCCACCCGTAGATCGCAGAGGCCCACGCGTCGTTGCCTTTTGATCCTTGCAGAAGGCCCGTGGCTCAAGTTCAAGGCACCATGCCATGCGCGTACGCATGGCGGTCTTTGCGAGTTTTGCCATGCACGTATGCATGTGCGCATGGCCTTGTTCCGCGTACAAGTCGGTGCGGTTGCTGGCGTTTGGCGATGGGTAACTCCGTGCTGAACTGCTGATTCGAAGGAGTTGCTGGTTGCGCCGTCGGGAGATCCGCGTACGATCTCGTACGTGATGGAAATTGCCGCGAGATCTACGCCCTCCCGCGATCGGAGGTGCGTCCCCTTCGCAGCTGCTCGCCACGATCGTCGTCCTCGCGCCGTGTAGACCGGTCGGATCAGTGTCCATGCGTCCGTACATGGCCGCGCCTGGCACCGCACGATTTCATGAAGAAGATCGTATTCCTGTAGGCTCCGGAATCTGAGGGTCGTTGGATTTATTTGGTGGCTAATGAAAAACTGATCTAATGGAATTTCTAACTATGAAGAATTCATCTAATCTAATCTACGGAACCAATCTGATCTTTGATCAATTGGGTGCCGCGCCCCCGGGGAGAGGAGATTAATCTCCCCGAGGGGGGCGCGCTACGGAAGGTGTGAAAGGTCTTAGGATCGGCGTCGTGAGACTAACCGCTCTAATACCATATAAATATTATAGGATGGATGAATATGGTGTTGTTTCTGTTGTATTGATCCGACCCTCATATGGGGTATATATAGAATACATTGTGAGGGAGAGAGACTTGAAGTAGAGGGCAAGTCGTACATGTTAAACCTATTCTATCTCTAACTCCTACCTATATCTTAAATACAATAATATTTTAACAGGACGAACTCCAGTGTGTTTGAGATCAGGGGGCATTACTGGTACAGTTGCTATTTTTTCAGCTATTCCAACAGAGTGGACAGCTTGATGCATCCACGTCATGAACAAAATGCGTTCTCACTTCTTTGCTGTCTCTTGACTTGATTTGCAGGAACCTGATGCTGAACCCAAGGGACAGAAAGAGTGGCGACGAAAATGAATATGTTTCTCTTATGCTTGTGCTGTTTCAACTATCTGAGAGATCCCATACGGTCGTGGAGGCAACTTTCAAGTTCTTGTTATATGATCAGTCATATGGAAAGCACCACGAACAGCATCAAGGTAGGTTAGCAAATAGTAGTTCTTTAAGCTTCACAACTAGTCGGCTACTAGATTGATAGTGTTGATTATAGCCAGTTTTTTTTTTACTAGAGGAACTACATTTGAATATTCTGTTTGCAGTGAGCCACAGTTTTCAGTCTACAAGCAGAGTCTCTGGGAGCTCATGCATGATCCCCCTCGCGAAGCTTAAGGAGCAATCCTCTGGATTCCTCGTCAAAGACAGCTGTGTTTTCGGTATCCAGTTCATCAAAGTTGTCGCTGTTAAAGGTAACGATGTGTCAGAGACGCTGTTTGTTCAGAAGACTAGCAACATCTGCAGTGACCCGCAAGTCTACACCTGGAACATTGATGATTTCTTTGTGTTGAAGAACCCGAGCACCTCCCCAGAGTTTGAGCTCTGTGGACACAAATGGTAATTGACCAATAATATTAATTCTTAATTATTGGGTTTATACAGAATTGTCTTTATTTCATTTGAACTCAAACGCTATCATATTTCGGTTTCAAAAAAACAAAGACCGTTGGAGATCGACCTGTTCTTATGAGTGATGGATTAGACCGTGTGATGTTCTCTGATTTTCAGGTTCATCACTCTCTATCCATCTGGTTACGATAAGAATGGGAACTACCTCTCCCTGTCTCTGAGCATGAAGGTTCCGGACACACTCGATAAGGACTCGGCAATCCTTGCAGAAGTTAGCATAAGCATCAAAGACCAGGAAACGGGGAACCACGCGAAATCATCAGGTTCGTCCTTTAGTACAAATTTCACGCAATAGACCAGATTTGAGATGCTGAACAAATTGATATCATCGTATTTCCTGATCGGCATGGTTTTTTTGGGGGGCCTTAGCCCGGATCCAGTTCAAGAATGATACCCACACTTCGTTATGGGACAAGTTCATATCGTTGGAAGATTTCAAGGACTCATCAAAGGGTTATCTCGTGAAGACAAAGTGCTGCATTGAAGCTCAGGTTGAAGTCATTGTTTCCTCCAAGACGGTGTAGCTAGATTATTCGTCCTCGTGGATAATCATGTCTCGTGTCGTGTGTGTGTGTGCGCGCGCTCTATACTTGCTTGAACTGCGATTCTCCATCCGTACCTTTGTTGGTTTGATTGTTGGGTCGTGCTGAACGTACAAGAAGTCTAAAACTAATGGCATTGACAAGCATGATGATGTGTGTCTCGATGTGGAAGAAGCTTTAGATGGAAACAAATGCGTAGCAGGGGAGACTTGCATAAAGATCAGAAGACACTCTGTGCTTTTGCTGCAGAGATCTTCAACTTTTACACGGGTAGTATAATAGCTACAACGCGAAGCTTATTTCCAGAAAGAGATTTATTATCAAGTGAAACAGAAGTAATAATAGTCTGAGAAAAAATCTATATGTCGAGCGAACGTATATTATGGTTACATCGGTCAAACACAATTGATTGAGGGAACCATATGGCTGGAGAGGAATGGAACTAGAGTGGGGAGGAGGGGGTGAAGGCATTGGCGATTCTGCGAAATTTTCTGCAATAGAAAACCCTTTGATCAATGCCTATAGATTTATTTGTAACTCCGTGGCAACGCACAAACATCTTTCAGTACGACGACTTTCGTGAGACAAGCATGGAGAATGGGTCAAGCTGCAAATTCCCTTCGAACTCTGTTTTTACAAGCAAACTCTTTTCAGAGTGGAAAATATTGTCAACACCAAACTGATGCCAGGTATGAGTTTGTTTCCGGCATAGTTTCTTGAAAGGTGTTGGCGCTAGTCAAACAGGGGATGTTATGACGAGTTAGTTCAGGTGAAAAGATGAATTTCGACGGACCCTTGGATGCCGTTGGGTGCTCCTTAGCATGGCCACCTTCTATCCCGGGTCTTGTATATATATTATATATACAAATAATTGGGATATATAGTTGGTCCGTCAGATGGTCAATGAGTATTGTGCTGGAGTAATTCTTGCGATTCCCATTGCTGAGCATACCGAGGATTTTGTGGCATGTAACATTGATAATAGGAGTGTTTCCTTGTCTCTCGCTGAAGTGAGAATACAAGGTGCACAGTGATATTCTGAAACGGCACGGCTGCACAGAACGCAGAGAGTACTCAAATGGTTCTGATCGTGAGGTTCAAAGATGGCAGAAGATCTGGAAAGTGCCATGGTACATCATTTTGAGACTAGCGGCAACACCTTATGACGATGTGTCTTAATGTGGGAGAAGCTTTATCTAGATAGAAATCAATGCGTAGTGGGAGAGACTACTTACATAAAAATTACCAAGACACCCTGTGCTTTGTTGTGGAGATCTTCAACTTTTACAAGTTTTAGAGGCGTAATGACTTGAGAAAGAAAGAAAAACCTTTACCGCCCAGCAAACTTTGTTGTGGACGAACTCGAGAAAGACTGGGGCCCGGAAAACCAACTCAAGATTATTCGTCTTCCATGATGCTAGATCAAGACAATAAGACAATCCTGCAGTTTCTGTCTATGGCAATTAAAGCTCGAATTTCGTTAGAACATTTCAGTTGACATGGCTTCAAAGATGAAGCACCATGTCACGCCTAAACAGCTGTTAGCGTGACTAAGGAGCTGGCTGGTGGGCCCAGCCAGCTGGCCGGCTAAGTGGAGGCGTAGGTAGCGTTAAAGGGTGGCCGCCTGTGGCTGTGTATGGCATGTGTGTGTGAACCATTCTCTGTATCCAACTTTCCTCTGAAATCTTAGCCCCTTCCCCAAGCTCATCCCCTTCCTCACCTGCTCCCTCGTCCCCTCTCTGGATCCCGATCCCCTCGATCCGATTGGGGTTGTTGCTTTGGTATTCAGAGCCAATTTTCCTTCCCCTCACCGTCGTTGCACCATCGGAGCTTGGGAGGTGGATCGGTAACATCCACCGTGTACGGTGCGAGTCCGCTCGCCGGATCTCGCCCAAAATCCGTCGCGGGGTTCGATCCCCTTTCAGGCCGAAGCAACGGCGCCTTCGAAGCCCTCCGTTGCGACGCGGCAAGTCCTGGAGGCCATGGAGGAAGGGAACGCCAACATCGAGAAGATGCTCGACTCCCTCCTCACCAAGCTCGACGAGCAGACCGCCCTCCGCGACAAGCAACTGGAGGCGCAACTCTCCTTCAACAACCAGATCGCGCTGGAGCTGCGGGGTCTTGCGCGGCAGCTCGATCTGACGCAGGCCGATGTCGATGCGGCCCGCAAGACCGTCGACTGCTCGGCCTCACCTGCGGGATCCGTCACCACGCTGGTACCACCACCGCCGCCGCCGTCTTCGCGTCACCAGCCCCCCCACGCGGAGCCCCATCGCCCCGCTTCTGCTCACGCTCGCTTGGGGGACAACCGACCACCACTCATCCCGGTTCCCCCTCTCGGTGCGCCCATGGCTGGGGTCACCGCACCGCCGCCCAGTCCCAGCTACACAGAGAGCTCCTACCACAAACCCCCAAAACACGATTTCCCCCGCTTTGACGGATCTGCACCCTACCTCTGGTTGGATCGGTGCTTGGCGTACTTTGAGCTCTACAAGGTGGGTCAACATGTTTGGGTGCCCACCGCTGCTCTGTAGATCGAAGGGCAGACAGTACACTGGCTCCAAGCGTTTCGCCAGAGCCACCGCAATTTGTCATGGGACATGTTCGCAGCCGCCCTGCTCGAAGAGTTCAGTGCGGACGAGTTCGAGCTCACTATGCACCGTCTCCTTCAACTACGGCAGACTAGCAGCGTCGCCGAGTATTGCACATCGTTTGATGAGCTCATGTATCACCTTCTGGCGCCAGATCCCTCCATGATGAACAAATTCTTCATCACCCAGTTCTGTTTGGGCTTGAAGGACGAGTTGCGCACAGCAATTCACTTACAAGCCCCGTCGAGCATCACCCGCGCGTCGGTGCTTGCGCGCATTCAGGAGGAAGAGCTAGGCACGACACGCCCATGGGTCGGACCGGTTCCTCCAGGGCGTCCTCCTCCACCAACCAACGCGGCACCACCGCGCCAAGCGGCCGTTCCACGCGCTACCGGCGATGAATTCGCAAGGGAGCGACAGCTGCGGGATTACCGGCGCGCCAACAATGTCTGCTTCAAGTGCGGGGACAAATACTCACGGGAGCATCGCTGCGCGCAGCCGGCACAATTGCTCACCATCCATGTGGGGGAGCATGGCGAGGTTCTCTCCGATGACGCGATCCATGTTCTCCAGCTCTTGGACGAGCCCGACCCACCAGCGCGGCCTGCAGAGTGCTACGTGCTGTCAGCTCAGGCGCTCGACGGCTCCGACTCGCCAAGTACCATTCGCCTGCGTGCTCTGGTGGGGAATCAGGTTATGCTGCTGCTCCTCGACTTGGGCAGCACCCACAGCTTCGTCAACAAGAGCTTCGTCGACCGCATCGGCGCGCAAACTCAACCGCTGCCTCCGGTGGAAGTACGCGTCGCCAACGGCGATCGCATCACCTGTGATCGCATCGTGCCCGGCCTGAAGTGGTGGATGCAAGGGCACACCTTCTCCACACCAATGCACGAGCTCGACATCGGCGCCTAGGGCGACATTCTAGGCATGGACTGGCTGGTGGAGCACAGTCCCATGACTTCCCACTGGCAAGACAAGTTCGTCTCATTCCTCCACGACGGCGAACAAGTCACGCTGCGCGGCGTCAAGCCCAAGACCACCGAGACCCTGACGGCGGTGGAACCAGCAGAGCTTCACAATTTGATCGCCGGCAATGAGGTGGGGGCAATGGCCATGGTGGATGCCTGCCCGCTCGTCCAGACCAAGTGCAAGACACCGAGCCACACCCCGCTCTCCGATCTCCTCGACGAGTTCGTCGATTTCTTCGCCGCGCCTCACGGCCTGCTGCCACACCGGCAGTACGACCACGCCATCACGTTGGTGGAAGGGGCGATTCCAGCCAACACTCGCCTCTACCGCTACTCTCCTATGCAGAAAGACGAGATCGAGCGGCAGGTCCGTGAGATGCTGGATTCGGGGATTATCACACACAACGTGAGCCCCTACGCGGCACCGGTGTTTCTCGTCAAGAAGAAGGACAACACCTGGAGGTTTTGCATCGATTACCGCCGGCTCAATGACGCGACAATCAAGAACAAGTTTCCCCTGCCAATCGTGGATGAACTGCTCGATGAACTAGCGGGTGCCACGGTCTTCTCCAAGTTGGATTTGCGGTCCGGCTACCATCAGATTCGAATGTGAGAAGAAGATGAGGCCAAGACAGTGTTCAAAACCCATCACGGCCATTTTCAGTTCCGCGTCATGCCGTTCGGCCTCACCAATGCACCAGCAACATTTCAGTGCCTGATGAACGTGATCTTCAGTAAGTACATCCGCAAGTTCGTCATCATTTTCCTTGATGATACTTTGGTCTTCAATGAAACGATGGAAGAACACCTGGAACATGTGCGCACGGTGCTGGAATTGCTTCGTCAACACCAACTCTATGTCAAGGCCTCCAAGTGCGAGTTCGCCACCGACCACATCGACTACCTCGGCCATGTGATCTCCCGCGAGGGCGTCGCCACCAATGCGGAGAAAACCCAGGCCATGGTGCAGTGGCCTACGCCGACGACAGCGACGGAACTTCGCGGTTTCCTCGGCCTCACCGGCTATTACCGCAAGTTTGTGCCACACTACGGCATCATCGCCAAGCCCCTCACGCAGCTCCTCACCAAGAAAGGCTTTGAGTGGACCGAGCACGCTCAGGCAGCGTTCGACCTGCTCAAGCAGGCCATGGTCACCACCCCGGTGCTCGCGCTCCCCAACTTCGACAAGCCGTTCGCCATCGAAACGGATGCTTGTGACACGGGCATCGGCACGGTGCTCACCTAGGAGGGGCACCCCGTGGCTTACTTCAGCAAGGCGCTTGGCGCGTGCAACTAGAAACTCTCCACTTATGAGAAGGAGTTTCTCGCGGTTATGATGGCGGTGGACAAATGGCGTCAGTATCTTCAGCGCGGGCCATTCGACATCCTCACAGACCACAAGAGCCTCTGCAACTTGGGCGAA